TATATGTGTAAGTGGTTGTGGTGGCAATCCTAGCACTGGGAGGCAGGAGCCCTATAAATGTGTAAGTGGTTGTGGTGGCAGTCCTGGCACACGAAGGCATGAGCCCTATAGATGTGTAAGTGGTTGTGGTGGCAGTCCAGGCACTGGGAGCCCTATAGATGTGTAATACATATGTTTATGAATAGATTTCCAGATAATGGTTTGTACTGACCCGAATATATTTGTATAATGTTATCATATCCCCTCTGAGGCACAGTTTTTCCTTTGATCAATTTTTTAGCTCCTCTCTGCACTTTTTCTAGTGCCATGATATCCTTCTTTAGAATAGGTGCCCACAATTGCACAGCATATTCAAGGTGTGGTCTTACCAGCAATTTATAAAGATGCAAAATTATATTTTCAGCCTGTGAATTTATGCCCCTATTCACATCTTTCAATGCACATTTATAAATATGTTAAATAGAAGTGGTCCCAAAACAGAACCCTGAGGGACACCACTTACCACTTTTGTCCAGCTTAAAAATGTACCATTAATGACAACTCATGGTACTCTAACCCTAAGCCAATGTTCTGCCCAAGAACAAGAATATTCATCTAGACTAGTAGTTCCCAACCTTTTTTCTCTTGAGTACCCTTTGGCAGCCCATTTCCATAAAAAGTACCCCTTATATTAGTGAAATATTTGTAATTATTATAGTTGCTGTATGCATTTCTCTGTCCCGTCTCCCCGTTCTTCTCTGTTCCAGGCTCCTCACAGTGCAGATACACACATGTGGATACACAAACATACAGATACAAATTCTGACACGCATACAGATAGACACACACATACAAACACTGACAAACACTGACATACATACAGATGTACAGACACACAGATACAAACAATGACATACTCATACAGATACATAATAAAGATACACATACTGACACACATGCAGATAAATAGACACAGATACAAGTACTGAGATACAAGAAGAGACATACATACAGTTGCACAGACACAATGACACACATGCATATACCCACAGAGAAAACACTGACACATAAATACAGACACGCAGACTGACACATGATGTACAGACAGGCAAAACACTTTCACACGTGCAGATACACAGATGCAAAAACTTACACACATACAGTTGCACAGACACACTGATGCACATACTGGCATACATGCAGATACACACACTGACATACATATAGTTACAAGGACATAATTATACACACACTAACACACATACAAATGTAAAGACACACAGGTACAAACACTGCCACACATGCAGACAAAGAGATGGCAACACTGCTATACATACAGTTGAACAGACATGGTGATAAACACACTGCCACACATTCACATACACAGATTCAAACACTGCCACACATATACATACAGATACAGACATGCAGATACACACACAGATATACACATTAACACACTTACAGATGTACAGAAACACACCCTGCCACACATGCAGATACATAGATACCCAGATACAATCATTGACACACATACAGATACACATGTAGATACAGACACACATGCAGATAAATGGACACACACACAAATACAGATATACAGATACAGACTTACAGATAGACACACTGACACACACATACATACACATAGATACACACACTCATATGCATACATATAAAATGACATACACAGATACCGGCCCAAGACATTTTTCTGCCTGGGTCCCCCAAAACAATGACTCCAAAACAAGTCCACATTCATTATGTTGTATTATGAGAATTAAAACCAAAATGAAATATATCATAATTAGATAAATACATTCCAGTAACATATTTAGATAATTGCACACTAAATTAAACATTACAACATAAATGCTTCTGCAGTGGTAATAAAATATTAGCTAAGTACAATATAAGTTAATCACTAACAAATTCTCAGTTTTTGCTGCCTTTAGTACATAATTTTAAATTATCCCCTCTCTATTTCAACATTCCTTGTTTGTCCTTGACCTGCTACAATGTGCTGTTGCATAGAATGTTATGTTATAGCATAGTTTGGATTTTTAGTACTTTTGCTTAGAAAGTAACCATGGAAACAGATTCACAGGAGCACAAGCTTTGAGCCTCTGTTTTAACATGCCACTAGAGCAGAAGTAGACTTTAATCTTTTATGAAAACACAAATATTTTCTTACGTGTTGCCGTTTGATATGCACAGTTCTAATATGGAATTCTAGTGAATACATTTGAAGGAAATGCTACATTATCTCTGAACCCTTATCAGTCAAATAAAACTAGCAGTTTGGAATCATGGGACAAATATTCTGTATTTTTTTTGGGGGGGTGAGAGGGGGGTTGTACTATAGTTCTTGTGTACCAAATGTTGGCTAAGCTGCCGTTTTTGTATAATGATGCGTATTGATTTTGCAAAACATAATATTACGTTTAATTGAATTCTGCATAAAAGTAGACCACTTGCGGGGACGTGACCTGACCACAGAGTGCAATGGACACGTCTGAGTGAGCTCCGCTCTGTCAACAGCTCACAAAAGCGGCGAAACCAACCCTGTCCTCCAGCAACACAGGGGGATGTAGAAGAAACCTTCAAAGAAGCACCCGTTCCCGGCCTGTTTGTGGCTGCCAGAGGGAACCCGGCGGTCACACAAGATGGCGGCGACCTATCTCCGGAGGCCTCCCCTGCACGTGCAGCACAGGAAGGCGATCCCCCAGCATCAGACACAGCACAGATCCTGATGAAGCTGGGTGAGGTAAAAACATACCTCGCAGGGGAAATAGTGCGCTCCACACAAGTGCTCCAGAATGAGATACAATCACTGGGGGAGAGAACAGCTAGGCACACTGGAGGCCACAACTAATGCAGCCGCCTCACAGGTAAACCTCCTGATGGCCAGGATGACAGCCGCTGAACTCGCTATTAAAGACATGGCTAACAGGTCGCGCCGCAATAATGTGCGCCTGAGAGGCCTACCTGAGCAAGCCAGAGAAGGCCCCCTGACCGAGACTGTCCTTGCCATTTTTAGGACCCAACTGCCCAACCTCCCAGACCACATGTGGCACATTGAAAGGGCACAAAGGGACTTGTGCACCAGGTGGAACGACACCAACATGCCCAGGGACATCATAATACTATTTTTACACTTCCCTATGAAGGAGGCCCTGATGCAGAGAGGCAGGGAAGGCCCCATAAAGCACCAAGGAAATGATCTTTTATTATTCCAAGATTTGGCCCCCTCCACACTTCAACAGGCGACTTGACTGGAGGCCGGTAACGTACGCCCTGCGGTGTGCTAATATCTGCTATGCCTTGGGTCATCCCTTCAAATTATTAGCCTTTAAAGATGCCTGTACCCATGTGCTCCTTCCAGGGAGTGAACCAGCGGCCCTGTTCGCCAACCCGGGTCTTCAACCTCCCATCAACTTGCCTTCCTTGACCTCTGAGCCGGCGGATCTACCCCAACTCCCTAGGGAATGGATGCAAGCTGGAGAATGAGATGTGCCCATCCCTTCTCTCCTTGGCTGGACAGCCTACCTCACACTGAGGAACCTCAAGTGCTTTTGATCCAGGTACTGTGGAATGTTTATATTTGGGGCTGGGGGTGAAGGGGTTATCACCCTTTGGGGGTGGACGGGTCAGACTCTCTACTGCCCTACCCGAGACTGACTGCAGGTACAGAAATCGCCCCCACGCAATAATATTTCCTGGAGCATATATCCTGCACCACGTCCTGACCTTGAGACTCCCTGGTCCAACGAGCCTACGCTTACGGGGACACACTAAGCGAGGGTTGCCTCCCTTTAGGACGTTCAGGCTATATTTTATTTGGTTGAAGTCAAATACACCAGCGATAGCCAAGAGGGCCGGTTGTGACACACAATGAGGTGGGGGGGGACGCCAATTGAATTATTGGGAGGGGAGCAGGGACGGGGATGGGATAACCACTTGCTAACCATATCGGTAATATTGTTTTGTATATTGCATGATTTCTTTGCCATCACAGGGCAGAAGCGACCTATAGCCTACGACCCTTCTGGGCCCACATAGTACTGGCTGTCCCATGGCCCCTGTTTCCTAGGGGTGCACTTGGCATTCCCCCTCAGGCATATCCTCTCACCCACTACAAGCGGTTCCTACAACCTTTCACACTGGCCATGGGGGGGGTCTCAGGGGAGCCCTATCCCTCCCCACATTTACTAGTTTGCAGTACTTTAAGCGCCTGCTCCTTACACACTGGGAACTATGCTAACTATGCGCAACAGCCGAGATTATTGAGGTGAACCATCACTCCCTGCCCATTCTCATATAGCAGCATATAATGATCATGAAGTTCTCTGAGAGGGGCCACAGGGATGGGTGATGGGGACGGGCCTTCCGCCCGAGATTGGTCCGGTGGGCAGATGCATATTCTAATCTGGCACACTATACTCACACAAAGATAAAGCACCGCGCTTACAGCAGCACTAGCTTAGTATCCAACAGCTCAAAATACATATATACTCACACACTATCCATCTGATCAACATCTACACCCCGAATTAACCCACGGCAGATTTCTGGGACAATTTAGCGGCCAAAATCAAAGCGCTCCCTCATGGCTTGTGCATTCTGGGTGGGGACTTTAACGCGATGCCGAGTCCTGCTGTGGACCGAAGCTCCCGCCGTGGACAGCTGAGGTCACAAGGACGGGGCGGACAAGATAAGCTCCTACACAAATTCATTCACTCGACCGGCTTGGTTGATGTCTGGAGGGCACAGCACCCAAGTGACATTGATTACTCCTTCTTCTCCCCACCTCACAAGTCCTACTCCAGGATAGATTTCTTCTTAGTTAATAACCTAGCTTTAGCCAAATCCACGAACACTACAGTCGGGTCTATCACATGGTCGGACCACGTGGACGTGGCTCTCTCGCTGGGCAACGTCAGCACTGCGTCGCCCTGGACGTGGAGACTTAACTCATCCCTAAGAATGACACTGCGGAATTATCCCAGGGGACCCTATTGGCAGCCTACAAAGTGATAATCAGGGGTACATTTATCTACCTCGCAACCCTACGAAAGTAAAGAAAGAGCCTCAGGCTTACTCAGTTACTAGGCGCCCTCCGCAGCATCGAGCTTCAACATAAATCCAATCCTACCGACGACACCCTAGATGGACTGTGGGAAACCCAGCACACCATCAGCTCCTCGACGATACGGCACGATCCATCACATGATCTAGGTGGAATTTTTACGAATCAGCCAACAAAATGCTTACAATGCTGGTGAGAACCCTCCCCCCGTGGCAGTGATGAGCTCACATAGCAGCTATCAATCACAACGATGGCATCATAAAGACCACCCGACAGATATCGCCCAAGTATTCACCGAATACTACCACTCTCTGTACAACCACTCCCCAGTGGAGGCAGGCTGTCAATCGAGGGAGGATGTGACAATTCGCTCCTTCCTTGAAACATTGGGACTCCCGAAACTAACCCCTGATGCCTGTAAATTATTAAACGAGAAAATATTGACCAAGGAAATCGATAAAGCTATATCAGGATTGAAGGGGATAAAGCACCAGGCGCAGACGGCTTCGACGGGGGGTACTACAAAATCTTTCGGGAGGAACTTACCCCTCGGTTAGAACTCCTTTTCAACGACTTTCGGGAAGGGGGGACACCAGATAGGGACATGTCATTGGCTAATATTGTCCTACTCCCTAAACCAGGTAAAGATCTACTTTCACCAGCACACCATAGGCCAATCTCTTTGATAAACCACAACTCCAAAATCTTAGCAGACCCCCTAAACCCACTGCTGACTTTACTTATACACACAAGTCGGATTTATCCTGGGCCGACAAAAGTTCGAGAATACCTGTCGAAACATTGACATCATTTGTAGAAAAACTGCCACAAACAACCCCACCCTGACACCAAAAAGGTGTTTGATAGTTTCAGATGGTCCTATCTTTTCCACCTCTTGAACTACGTGGGCTTCCCAGCTTCATACATAACATACATCAAGGCGATGTACATGTCAGGATTACTAAATTATCCAGCACGTAGAATTTTATCATACCTAGGACTAAAAGGTAACGTCCAACTGGGCCTTAGAATGGCTGGACTTAACATACCAATGAATAGTCAGGATACTTGCCGTGGTCGGGGGGCACAGAATGGGACACAACGATAAGGGAAAGCCAGAAATCAGGAATACCACAATACAGGGAAGTCAAACAAAGCCAAAGTCAAAAAACAGAAATAAATGCTCAGGAACACACTCTCGGACAACCACTAGGGAAACCAGGACAGGGCAAAAGTAAATTTGAGTTTAAATAAGTGATCTAGGGTTCTGATTGTCTGAAAATGGCCTTTGACCCCAAAACGTGCGCACGTGTCTCCGGCGTGACATCACGCGCATGCCAACATCGTCATTAACGTGGGGGGACGTGGGGGTATAACTTGGTGTGGATCCGCAGCAGCCAGCGTCCATCAACATGTTGCAAGAGTCAACTATACAGATGGACGGCCGCTGGACACAAATACCGCAAGGTGAGAAAGGATAAGTTACATTACCCCCCACCTGAAGACCGCCCACCAGGCGGGCAGGGCCAGGCTTGAAAGGAAATTTGGCATGGAAAGATGAATCTTGCGGCCAGCATGAATGTCAGAGGCCGGAACCCAAGAACGCTCAGCAGGCCCATACCCCCTCCAATCAACCAAATAATGTCAGGTGCCACAAGAAAATCTGGAATCCATTATGGAGGAGACCTCCTGTCCAAAAACAACCAATGGAGGAGGGGGAACACTTGGGACAGTATACCTATTGCAAACAAGTGGCTTAAGCAAAGAGACATGAAAGATATTAGGAATCCGCAAGGAGGCAGGGAGAGCCAGAGACTATGAGACACGATTAATCCTACAAAGGATACGAAACTGACCAAGGAATCTAGGAGCAATCTTCATGCTAGGAACTTTAAGCTAGGATGTTGCATGATTACAACACCCTCTCACCTACTTGGTAAACAGGGTTGGCCCCCCGCCGTTTATCAGTATAAAGTTTGAAATGGTCAGCCGTATCATGAATGGAAGCAAGGTGGTCATCCAAAGCAGGGATAGCTGTATCAGAAAAGACGGGTGGTAGAACAGTAGGATGATGACCGTTATTAATAAAGAATGGGCTGTGTCCAGAAGAGTAATGGTCAGTATTGTTCCTAGCAAACTCGGCCCAGGGCAGTAATTCGGAATTATCCTGAGTGCTATTAACAAAACAACGCAAATATAATTCCAATGACTGGTTAGCCCTCTCAGCTGTACCATTGGTTTGGGGGTGGTAAGAGGAAGAAAAATACAATTCAATGCCCAACTGTTTATTGAAAGCCCTCCAAAACCAAGAGACAAACTGAGAACCTCTGTCCGACACAATATTGTTAGGAATACCATGCAGTCGGACAATCTCACGTAAAAAGATAAAACCAGGTCTTGTGAGGATGGCAATTTTTTGAGCAGAACGAAATGAGCCATCTTAGAAAAACGTTCAACCACCATAAGGATAGTGGTATAGCCATTAAAATTAGGAAGTTCAACAATGAAATCCATGGACAAATGGGACCATGGAACATTAGGTACAGGTAGTGGTTGTAACAAGCATCATGGAAGTTTATGAGGAACTTTCGAAACTGCGCAAAGAGAACAAGCCTGCACATAATCGTTAATGTCTTTCCTGAGAGTATCCCACCAAAATGATCTCATGATCGTGGAAATGGAATTATTAATGTCTGGGTGTCCAGCAGTTACGTTGTTGTGGAACACTCTCATGACATTCTCTCTCTCACACAATGGAACAAACAATTTATCTAGCGGTTTATTGCATGGCGCCTGAGACTGAGCTTCCATGATGGTGCCAAGCAGAGGTGAAGATAATGAAAGGACAATGTAAGCGATGATACATTCAGGTGGAACAATAGGGGACGTTTCTTGTTCCTGAACTGATTCAGTATCAAACTGTCTAGACAAGGCGTCCGCCTTCACGTTTTTGGGACCAGGTCTGTAAGTTATAAGAAAGTTGAAGCGAGATAGGAACAAAGACCATCTAGTCTGTCTAGAAGACAGTCGCTAAGAGTCCCCTATATATGCCAAATCCTTATGGTAAGTAATGATCAAAAGGGGATCCTGGGAACCTTCCAAAAGATGTCGCCACTCTCTAAGCACTAATATAATGGCCAATAACTCTCCCATGAGTTCGGGTTCGGACTGTACCGGGAGGTCAGGAACAAAAGGTCTGGAGAAATAGGGTGCTAAAGGCATAGCCATATGTCTGGTCTTATTTCTGGTATGTTCTCTGGTTCTCAATCTATTATCAATTTTCAGGACAAATGTGATAAACTCGTTTTTTGGGTAGTTCTTTGGCAGCAATCTCATCCAAAATTGTCTCAGATAATCCTTTCTTAAGTGCAGAGATTAATCCGCTCTTTGTCCAGTCTTTGTCCAGTCTACCTCAAAAGCCAAGGTGCAAAACTATGAGATAGCCAGTTCCCTTGTTTGATATGCATTAGGGCAGTGGAGGTGTCATCCTCCCTGCCTAATGGTTCAAACGTTAATTTAAATTCCGTTTGGAATTCCTGGTAATGGTGTGCAATGCTCCTATTACTCTCCCACAACGGATTGGCCCAAGCTAAAGTTTAACCTTTAAGTTGGTTCATCAGGTAACCAATTTTAGCTCTGTCCATGGGAAAAGATCCCGGTGAGGCCTCAAAATGATACTCAATTTGATTTAGGAATCCCCGGCATTCTTGAATATTACCATCAAAATACAGAGGAGGAGATAGGGAGATAGTAGGTGCCTTATGTACTATAGGTAGAGGTACACTAGGTGGAGGTGACAGTCGGAGAAGCTGCAGTCTGCAGATGCACTGTTCAAGCAAGAAGCATACTGAAGGCCAGCACGTAGAATTGTATCACAACTAGGACTAAAAGGTAACGTCTTACCGGGTCTTAGAATGTCCGGACTTAATGTACCAGAGAATAGTGAGAATACTTGCCGAGGTCGGGGACTGTGGGAGAGGGACCTTGGGGAGGCTCTTGAGGGTATAGAGTGGCAGGAAATCTGGAAAGCCAACAATGCCACTTCCATTTGTGTTTCAATACAGGAACAGTCCCTTAAAATGATGTTCCGTTGGTACTCAATTCCCGTTAAGCTCCACAGAAAGCAAAAGACGCTTTTGGACGCATGCTGGAGGGGGTGCAGGAATAGGGGCACCTACTTTCACATGTGGTGTGAATGCCCCCATATCCAAACATTCTGGAGCTCAATTAAGGGCCTCATAAAACAGGTGTTCCAGAGAGCACTGGATCTAGACCCCTGGGTTAACCTCCTAAACAGATCAGTAGAGGGATTGACCAGACATGAACAAATGTTAGTGCACAAGATAACATTACCGGCAAGGAGATCACTAGCACAGGCCTGGTTGAAACCAGGGGTCCCGTCTGTGGCATCAGTCATAGTAAAAATTATGGATAATTGCCTAATGGACGAGTTAGGGGTTCGACAAAGAAGTTGGAAGAGATATGGGAGCCCTGGGCGGCCAGCGTCCTGGCTTCGCAGTGGTGTTTTTTGCTTCAGCCCCCTCCATCCCCCTACCCTTTTTCCTGTGCCACCGCCTTGCTCCCCCCCCCCTTGGGGGAAGGGGGGGGTGGTGGCTTGTACCGGCCCGGGCCCTGCTCCTGCTCTTCTCCCCTTCTCTACTCTCCTCCTTGCTTCATCTCTGATCTTACTTCCCCTCTATCCTACTCTTTCCTGATCTATACACTTTCCCTCTACACTCATTGCCTACATTTCTCTACACTTGCCTCACTTGAGACTTCACTCGCTCCTATGTCTGAGGAGACACACAACGCGGTGGTCATAGACAGTCCACCTTACATATCGAGCGACTGACAGACTGCAAGATTATATGATGTGCTTCACCTACGACAGCATAGAAGCCTAGATTTAAAGGGTCTGTAGTCACTATAACCACTTTGTCTCTTTGAATTGGTTATAGTGCCTGGAGTGCCCTGGCACTGTCCCTCCATTCAGTGTTGCACCATGTTTGTGCAGTATGCAACAAAATAAGAGTCTCTGGCCACCCACAGTCCGGCCCCTTCTGTATGTGTAGCTTCCTTGTTGTCATACCCATTCATACCGTCAGTTGGAGCTCTGACAGTTTAAAAGCAGTCAGCTGACACTCTCAGCCAATCACAGCT